TTCTTTCTTTCTTTCTTTCTTTCTTTCTTTCTTTCTTTCTTTCTTTCTTTCTTTCTTTCTTTCTTTCTTTCTTTCTTTCTTTCTTTCTTTCTTTCTTTCTTTCTTTCTTTCTTATTGTTTCACACCAATGGTGGTGATCCCCAATAATTAGACCATGAAGTGTTTGGGTTTTTTTCTTCACATTTTACAACCCACTGAAAATTCAAATGCACCCCCCCCTTTCAATGGGATTGATCAGCTTCCAACTACCCCCTCCTACCCTCTCTCCTCTGTACTGTGTTCAACCAAAATCCACATGGGACGTTTCCATCCCAATGTGTTACAACAATGCACCCGAACCATCAAAAATCAACCCATCAGTTGGGAGAATTTTTATCTCAAGATTTTTCGGTGTGTGTGTGTGTGTGTGTGTGTGTGTGTACTCTATGGACGAAGGTCTCTCGGGTCGCGGGGGGGGGAATGCCCACTCACGTCATTGCCTGATAGATGGACTCCACTCCGTATCTCATTGCAAACTCGTCCACAATCTCCTGAGCTGTTTCATCAAAGTAGACTTTCCAAGCATCATCTCCTTTTGCATCCGGGATCTTTACCACGCCGTTGTTCTGGATGTCCGTCACAAAATGAAAGAGGTTCTGGCGAGGCCGTGGAGGAATTCAAAGAGAAGGGTCAGAGACACGCAGCGGGTCCAAGCAGAAATCAGAAAGTGTTTCCGGGTTGTGTGTCTTTTACAATCAAGTCCATTACCGTATTTTTTTGCTCCATAAGATGCACACACCCCCAAAAAATGTGGGGGGGGAAATCTGTGCGTCTTATGGAGCGAAGGCAGCAATTTTGCCTGCGCTGGCCCCGTGGGGGTGGGTGGGGGGAGTGTCGCAAGGGTCTGAGTGAGCCTTCCAGGATCCTTGCGATGCTCCCCCCACCCCCGTACCAGGCCAGCGTGGGCAAAATCGCCAGCTTCTGGGAGTCTTTTGAGGCTTGGGAAGCTTCAGAAGAGTCCCAGAAGCTGGTGACTTTGCCCCCTCTGACCCCAGGGGAGGGGAAGGGTGAGTCTCTAAAGGGTCCTGGAACACACCCTAGGACCCTTTGGAGGCTCGCCCTGCCCCCCCCGCTGGGCCAGAGGGGGC